CTGAGATGAAAGTGCGTGACAGACGCACACACAGACACACAGACGCACAGACACACAGACACACAGGCACACAGACACACAGACGCACGGGCACACAGACAACCTCTTGTCAATATGCGTTTTTCGCATTGCGTTGCTGCAAAAAACGCATAAAAAGCTGCTTTTATTAAAGGAAAATTCTGCAGCGCTATCGTTTCTGGAAGTTCCTCTAAAACTTTCCTCTATGAGAGTTGCATGCGAAAATATGTTTTACCAAGGGTTGCAGTCACGATGATTTTGAATCCTCCTTTGCTGGCACTTCTGTCAGAAACAAATCGGACTGTCAAGAATCTGTTGGACGTTGTTAATTGATTCGAAGGGACGATATTGCCACAGAGTTTGCCGAAACTAGTTGCGTTGCTAACTTGCGCGCCATCAAATAGTTCCACGAAATCAAACATGCAGTCCGACGAATCCTCCAAATCCAGGTTCGTATATCTGCAGTGTACGAAGAAACAGCACTTAAAATAGACATGGGGAGCAGTACTAGCACCAAAACGCAGTGACAGGCTGAAACGGTTCGAAATATTCGAGACTATTTGACTTCCTTTTCGACTTTCGTATCTATTTCAATGGCATGCTATAAGCGAATGAGCAGCACTGAGTCTCTGTGTCTTACCTAAGGACTGCCTTGGCAACGTGAAAATGAAATAAATCAACAATCAAAAATCCTTTTCGCAGTTTGCAGAGACTCTTATAACTAGCTCGAGCGGTAGCACATGCCAGCAGCAATCATCCGCTGGTAAAGCTCCCTTCTTCGGCAGGTTATTTAGAAGCAAACTGACAGCGATTCTGATTGCCTGACACAAACCAGTATCAATTTACCACCAAATACTAATCAAGAATCGAATGCCACTTGTAGTTATATAGAGCAATTGGACAATCGGCGTGAGTGTCTGCGATGTTGCTGAGATGTCCCATACGCCAAATGCTGAACTGCACTACTTCCGGCTAGTGTCCACCACCTGCGATGAACATGCGCATCTTTTTAAATGTTATGATTTCAGTGCTAATGCGTACGACAATACAAGCACCCCCGATGCTGCTCTTGCTACCGGGATGATTGTTGGCTTGTACAGTTCTGGAGGCAAACATAAAAACATATACGCACATAGACATGACCTTGCCATAGTGCCTATTCATATGTGTAGAATGGAAAAACTTGTAGGAATCGTAGACGCCTCACTAACTTAATGCTAAGTACTCGTCCTTCAGGAGCAGAGATATTCCAAACACAATCCAGATTATGGTGATACGGTAACGGGAAACCTGGAGACGTGATTGCTGCAGACATCAGCCCACTCTCTTCCTTCATATTGATCTCGCCGCCACACTCTGCAAAATAACATGTTTGCTAAAAAAAAATAAGAATTCCGAAACTTCCTTTTAAGTTTTGTGCTTATACTATCCAAATTTCTACTGTCTCTAGATTTATGATACTATTGCTGGATACACGGAACTCGGGCCGCGAACGTCTGAAGCAACTGTGTTCGGCAGTTTTTAGCTATGCCACTTTGTCTTTGAGAAAATAGGTTTTTGCACGAAGCAAAAGAATTATATTCACATTACTCGAAAGAGCGTAGGACAATTTGAATCCACGTCGGTGTTTGCGTCGAGCAAGAGGATCGCCAAACGATGAAGAGTTGGTAACGAACCGAACACCAATTGGCCCCTGAAAAGTTTCAAGTCTTTTTATCTATCACCAAACACAATTCTTTTGCTTTATCTGAGACGTATTTATAAGAGACGGACAAGCAAAAAACAACACATCTGATACTTTTTATCTGTTTCAGTAAAATAAGCAGCAATTGAAATGTTCTCAGTTAGATATGAAGATGCGCCTGCCGCGTAAATAATTCAACTCAACAGCTAGTAAATTAGCGGAATTTCAGAATCACGGTCTCTGGACGTGCACATGACAAGGAAATTAACATTATTTTCTGTTCTCGCTAGTATATTAAATTACTACTGATTTGAAATCGCAACATGAGCACAAAAGCATGATCTTCTGCATCGCCGCATTCTCGCATCAATTAGCAAAATGCACAGAACAGTAGAAGCTACAGTATACTTCTGCGATAAAGTTATGTCAATGCACACCACAATTCCGTCTTCTCGGAAATCTTCAGCCCATAAAAGCAAAGGGATTTTGGATCTTTCGTTCTGTAACCGGCAACAAGGTACCGATCAGTGCAGTACCTACGAATTCTTGTCCCAATGCAGAAGTGGCTGAAGTTTGAAATGTTTTGCCTACGGATCTCGTCTATATCCTCTCCAAGTACAAAAAATTTTCAGCGTGTATTTTGACGTATGATCACAGGTCAAAAACAGCGAGAATTGAATACTAATATTAATTCTAATTCTAAAGATAGGGGAACGTCAACAATGGGAACGTCAACAATTTTACAAATGGCCATACCCCGCTTCCCTGCAATTTGTAAGCATACGAAGAAGCTGATCTCATATTTCTGGTGCCGCATACGACCGTGCAACAATCTTGTAATTACTGCTTTCGAGCCCGGCTGATTCCTTAGCGAAACGGGCGTCCACAGTTTCACACATTAAAAATTTGAGGTGCCCAAACAAGAAAAAAAACGTGTAAACAAAGCTCATTTCGGGCCTGCGAGTTCGCAAATGGGCAGCAAAAATTGTCGTAAATATAAAGCTTTCCACTCACTCTGGTTTTAAAGTTAAAAAGCTGCCAAAAATATCCCAGCTTGAATTTCTACTTGTGCATACACAGGATTTAGGCGCCCTTCAAAGTCGAATTCGAAATCTGTAGGGAACGCTTCGACAAGGAACACTCACCTAAAGTCCAGCTTTCTAGGCTGACTGGTTGATCACTTGAAAGCGAATGACAAAACAAAACACGCACGCACATGCACACATACAAGGACACACACACGCAGGCATACATACAAATTTGCACATATGCAAAAATGCACACTGTGACGAACCATGCTGTGCGTATGTTTGTGTGTATCAGTGCGTGTATGTGCGTGGTGCGTGTGCGCCTGTTCGGGTATTTTAACTCGGCAACCAAGCAAGCTCTGGCGCTAAAATTTTGGCAATGGGTTTCTCAGCCAAATGCAGCCCTGGGACCGCAATATCAACATTCAAGCAGGTCTGGGCTTCGCGTACGAACACGTGAAAGTTCCAACGGAGGAATCGATAACTCGAAAAACAGAGAAGCTGGGCGGCTCATTTGCGTGCACACGAGCGTAAAACGAGCTTTTGCAATTTCGCGTTTCGATAGCACAGATATTCGTGCGCGAAACTGTGCGCATCCGTTTCTTTTTTTAGAACCCAGGCTGGGACGCCTCAGGTTTGTCGGTGCGATCATGCGTTTTCGCACCAGATTTGAAGTACTCAGGGTATTAACTCTATGAATAATTGTTGCTTTACCCAACATTTTGCACTCATTAGCGTAAATCACCATAAATTATTCATAAAGTAAATAAACGATTTCCATTTAACGGTTGTTCTTTGAAAATAACCTAGCTGTTCAGTAAGCAATTTTTCCGCCAAAACTTATAAGTGCCCATACGTGAGGATCACGTACACCTGAAGGCTGAATTTGAAACATTTAAGTTGCATCTGAACAGGGGACGTGCCCCTAAAATTTCAGCCTTCCAGCTTTTCTGGCCACCGAATTGACAATTTTTCCCCCAGATCTTTCACGTGCTCATGCGTGAGAACTACGCATATCTGAAAGCTGAATTTGGGATGTTTAAGCTCTACTTGGATAGGGAAAATTCCTCCAAAATTTCAGCTTTCTAGCTTTTCTGATCCCCAAGTTAGTAATTTTCCCGCCAAAATTTTCATACGCCATTACGTAAGTACCACGCATAACTAGAGGCTGAGTTTGAAACCTCAACTTCATACATACACGGAGAATATCCCCGCAAAGTTTCAGCCCCTTATCATGCGTGGTTCCCGGGATTGCTTACACGCCAAAAAATTTGCGCATTTTTTAAAGCCATCCGTACGCGCACCCAGGCGTAAGCGAATGACGATACTAAAACGTGATACTTGCTCGCGCATGGTGTGGGCACACACTTCAAAAGTTTCAGCCTTCTAGCTTTTCTGGTTTTCGAGTTGAAAGTGGGCCAAAAAAGTGCGAACACACAGACACACACACAGAGCCTCTTGCCAATATGCAAAAACGTATACTGGCAAGAGGCTGTGTGAGTGTTTGTGTGTTCGCACTTTTCTCGCCCACTTTCACATATGCAAAAACGCATAAAAATATTGCCTAATTGTGTGAGGGAACAGAAGCATGCGATCGTTTTTCACATATAACTGCGTAACCCGGTAGGGTACGGCAAAATCCAAGTTGCAAAATTGTTGGTATCTTTTTATCTTCAGAATCGCACTTAAAACCTGAATTT